TTAATAAATGTGTTGTTTTTATATATTAGTTGTTCGGGTTTTTTCATCTAAAAAAAAGGCGACATTAGTTTCTTGACGACCCAATATTTATCGGAATATCAAAAGCTGATACCTACATACCAGTCAAATAAGCTGGAAAAACATTCTCACGATAGTCAGAGCATTCTAGGGGCTAGTCCCGTTGACGTAATCAGATAGTTAGTAGACGAAAAAGTTGCTGTTTTAGAAATTTGTGACTTGTTATAGCGGAAAATTTTAGCAACATTTTAGTATATTATTAGTATATATGCGCATAATATATCGTAAGCAATACTTTGAATAATTGGTTTTTTGCTTAGGAATTCAATAGGGTGGTTTTTCTGTACGTGAATTATTTGGAAACCTTGTCGATCCCTACTATTAAGTACTACCGTATTAGATAATAACTAATTCATTCTCACTTTCTCGAAGCTACAAAATTACATCATAATTACCCCACAAATCTCACAATCAAGATAAAAAACAAACTGGGTATAGTGCAAAAAAATATTAGAGGACATTTGCCTCTTATTTGCAACACATTCATAAACCTTTATCAAAATGCATTTCTGTTATCCAAAAGAAATAACTGTCAAAGCTTGATTTTTTTATCACAGAATGGTTTTGCCACAGAACTACAATTAATTTTCTGCACAAGTAAAACTAGTTGATAATTTCCACAGTAGGTCCAAGATCTCTATGCTAGAAGTCATATCAGAAATAACTACCTTTGTTTGGTGCACATGTAGAGTACATAACCGGAAACATGCCTAAAAATTTATATCAAGCATGTCACAATTTGCTAGAATAAAGGCCAAATATTGTTACTAGCATATACCATGTTGTGCCAAATCCATGGTTCTCCAAACAAGTCACATTAATGTTAGATGTGAACTGATTACTTTACTTTTCCAAGTTGATGACCATATCCAACTCAGTTTCTGCTAATCGAACCAGTAGGTGCTGCAGCAGCTATTGCTCATCACAGCCTTATAGTATCTGTTTTGGTGTTAACTTGAAAGGTGTGTGCATCCAATGGTCTTTTCAGACAACAGGATATGAGAATACCTGTAACAGTGATTAGCTGTGCCACCACTGAAATAGAGATAATTTCTCCATGCTCATAGCACCATTGGAAGTAAACCCCCAACTGCATTGGTGTTTCCATCATGTGAGCTGGGCCACAAAAACCATGCTGACCGATTGGGTGCTATACCATGAAGCCTTCCAGCATCTTTGGTGTTTGGGAGACCTTTACAGGCTGTTTTAGAGCTGGGTCTGCAGTCACAGCTGCTGGTATCCCCCTTTATTCCTGTGTGTGGCTTGATTTGACCAACTCACACCATGTCACCACTGAAATTGCTTCTGTGAGAGACGAGATGCCCCTCAATCCTACATGGATTCACTCATTAACCTACAATAAACTTGTTGATGAGCCCCTCTTTGCAACCTTTAATAGACATGGTAGGAAATGCCTTCCTATATAATCTCCTTAAATTGGGGGTCTTTGCCTTTGAAATCAGTAATCTCTCTTGTCCATAGGATCAAATCTTTATTACAACTTGTTAACATCTGTGTTTCAGTCATTGAGTTTCTCCTTATTCAAGTTCTCTACAATGTCAAGCATTGAATCTTCTAAACTCAGTAAAAAGCATTACACCAGCTGCCTCAGAGTCCATCCATCTCAAACAAGGAATTACTTGAAACATTTGATGAAATGATCCAGGTTCTTTTTTGCTGTTCCCTTGAGCATTTGTAGTTTTTAGCTGTTTTATCTTACCACCAGTTGTTGTTCATATGCTCCTACTACCAATTAATCTACAGAAATATGGCCAAGACATATTAGAGTTCAACTGTTTTTAAAGTCCAGAGAAGCATGCATCTATTATTGCTATAATAATGATGCAATGTGTCAAACAACACTTCATCATTACAACTCACAGTGTCCTTTGCAGTCAGACACAATTTTGGAACATCGTCCTTATACTTTGCTGACCTGGAAAGCTTTTAACTCCTAATCTGACTGAATCATAATAAGATGCCATATGCTCAACCTGATGATGTCACAATAAAATGTGCCAAACTTTGCACAGCACATGCATCTCATCATTCTTCTTGATCTTACTTGTCTCCACACAGTGTCTTATGATTTTGGGACTTGGTCACTACAACCACTGGTACCTTTAAATTCCATAGATACTGTATCATTGAGTATTGGGATTCTCAGGACAATTACTGTCACATGACACTTCACTACTTCCTTAAGCTCCTGCAGAAGGGATGTGACCATTTGAGGTTGCATTATAGTTGCTTGAGATTGAACATCTAGGTGTCCATCAACCCCTTGGTCCCAAGAAAACATATATGTCACTCTTACCATGGCTGCTTAAAGCTCTTGGTTTAAAATAGTACTCTGGCCAGGTATTGCTGTATTTTCAAATTGAGCCCTCTTTACCACCATATCTTCATCTTCTCTATAGAAAATTTTTTGGTCTGAGAAAGTAACCTTCCATGACAAAACAATTTAGAAATATTACTGTACCAGAGAGTTAACGTAAAAAAAGGCACATTCAAAATAAAATTGGCAGTAGCAAACCTTTAGTGCCAAAATATTTTAGTCTTTTAAGTAGTTTGTTTGTTTGTTTTGGAATTTCGCGCAAAGCTACACGAGGGCTATCTGCGCTATCCGTCCCTAATTTAGC